GAATTCTGACCTGCACTGTGACTGGTGTAGACACCACCACTACTAATGGGTGTGGCTTGATAATGTGCTGCTAAGTATTATTTTTAGTACTACTGTTCTTACAAAATGAAACTTTAAACATTTAATTTGTACAAGAAAACAACTGAAGCTTGAGAATTCTGTACTGATTCTTAATATTGTAATAGGTGGTGCACAGACATTCTTGCTATGCAGTTTGTCCCAGCAGTTCTTGAGGTAATATTATTTTTAATTCAGTATTTTTATGTAGTAATGTTTGTAAGTGAAGAGAGAGATCTGGAGTTTATGATTAAATTTTAAAATGTTGGCCCTTCAGAGTACAGTACTTTTGAGGCTCAGGTCTGTGTAACCTAACATAAACTACATAAGTGAATCACCTTAACTGATTTATTTCCATGGCATGTAACTTATATGTTGATTTTTAAAACAGGAATTAATAAGAGCAGAAATTAAAATGTATTAAATCACAGATGATGAACAAGTTTGAATGTTAGTTACAAAGTTAGAGAATATGAATGTCAAAGAATGGTAACATTTCAAGTAGCCTGAAATGAGTTCATGTAACTTGTGGGAGTGGCTGGACATAAAGCGGCGAGGCTGATGAGTGATCATGACGTGTGTAGGTGAACACTGATGTAGGGTCAAAATGGATATATAGAAATAAAAATAAATTACCTGTGATATATCTTAATGGATATTGTATGATAGTGGAAGATACGTACATGAACTTTATACATATACCTGAAGAAAGGGAATTTTAAATGCATTGAATAAAATTTGTGTTTATGGCAACTTTCGTCATAGGATTGGAAGTTATCGAAACCTGGCCATAAGTTACTTTAAACTCTGAATTCAGCTTTGTGTAACTGATTGTGTCTTATTAGGGACTGGATTAATTGAATCCACAACAATTTAATTTGTAGGTCATAAATTTGATACTAATCCTGAGCTCTAATTGTTTTAGATGTGTAGTGTACAGGACAGAGCATTGCTTATACAGATTAAGCTTATAGTCTCATGACACATGAAAGGAAGATTAGGATGTTTGTAATATAATAGTGATGACTTGTGTGAAGGCAATTTACCACATTATTAGAAAAGTCAACATAAAAATACAGTAGACAAATAGCATGAGAGAAGGCAAATTTGTCATTTGGAAATTAATAAGTATACTTCAGTGGCAAATGCATTGTTCCATCTTTTTCTCTTTGCTTGCAGTCTGATCATTAACAAATTTTTCTTTATGAATTACAGCTTGTCAGGTACAGAGAAGGTGGAATATAGCAGTGAGTCACCACTGCTATATCCCTCCATTGTTTCTATATTATTCTTTTGATCAGAGTAACTGTAAGCATATCATCACTTAATACACAGTCACAGTATAAGTCCAAGTTTATTGTCTTAGAATATGATGTACCATTATGTTTTGAAGAAAGAACAGGTTTAACCACTACTTGTGCCAGTCAGTTTATTCTTTTCTTTCATGTCACCCTTTTCTGAAATATCAGCACCTGGGCAGATACCCTCATGGATTGTCAAAACCCAGTTAACATATGCATATTTACCTGGAGTGAGAAAATTTGATACCCACAGATAAAAGAATACATACTTGGTCATTTTCAGCTCAGCATTATTCATCCATACCTCAATAATTCCAGATATTGAATTTTGTGATATCTGTATGTATGTAACTTGATCTGGACTTTTCTGTTTACATGAAGATGAATCATGTTTTCATGTGTTAAACTGTACCTGTAATGAAACAAACATAAGGTAGATCTAGGTGATATTGTTCATGTAAAAAATATTGAAATTCAGGAAATAACAGAATTATTTTCAGTTTCAAGATTTAAAATACTGATCTGAATAACTGGCAGTATTTTAAATTAAGGATTTCAATATCTGTGGTAGACATGTTCTTTAGCTTTGAGAGGCACTGACTTAACAAATATTAGTATGACAAAAATATGATTTAAACCAAGAACCACAAGGCACAGAGAATGTATTCTCTGTACATAGGCAGGGTAATGTAATTCCTATTCATCTAAGAATTAATAATTACATAACTGGATATTATTGTGGGTTCATTAATAAGATGAAAGTGGTGGCCTTGCTTCTGTTATAGTAAACAACAAGGTAGAATTCTTTTGAAAGTATGTACTGCACAGACTTGTACTATACATGAGACAGTGTCCATTTTTAATTATCATCTTGTGAATTTTAATTCGTAGCAAGGGATCAATGAGCATGAAAAGGCAATCAGGAGAATTCACTCATCAGTGTAAGTATACTAGACACAAAAAAGGACATTCATACTTGATAATTTTCTTTATGTTCACTTGCAGCTTAAAATGCAAAAAGAAATCTTCATGATTAATACTTTTACAAGAAAAAGGAGGGGTATGAAATGTACTTAGGCAGGTAGTAACTAACTACTGTATAATTTCATTTTTACATTCAAATGAAAAGAATTTTGAAATGTAGTCATTCATAGCTGTTTTACATAGTATGCTGGATAAAGAAAAATATTGGAGGGGTCCTGATGTGTTATGTTTCTCAGAATTGCCAAAGCTTTGTTAATTATTTGTAATTAAGCAAAGTTAAAAAAGCTATGTTTGGTACTTTAAAGCCCGTTATGTCTGTATATAATTCCACAGAGAAAGATAATACAAGTGAACATTTTGAGGACAGACTACTATTTTGATCAGATGTCACCCAAGGTATACCCTCTTTAAGATAGTAACAATGAGTTGAGATTTGTATCTTGCCTAGGTGAATGCTGAAGAAAGCAGTCTTCTGGGATGTGGCGCCATATCCCAGAAAACTGCTTTCTTCATAGTAACTGCCATGAAAACCTCAAATCTCACATGGGTGAGTGTTCTTTGTGCACTGTAGGTAATATTTATTATATTCCTGTCAACACAACACTGTTTCCAGCAGGTGGAGTTTACTGTCTAGGATATAGGGTTCAAGGTATGTGCCATCTCCAGATGTTTTTACTTACAATTATCCTGTCATGTACTTGTCCACTGAAGACGTTCCTGGCAGGCCAGAGGTTAATTTCCGACGACAATGCAAACGCCACTGTCCGGCGGTGGTTCCATGCTCAACTGGCTGAATTCTACAACAGCGGCACCTCAAAACTAGTGGTATGATGGGATAAATGCCTGAACCAGGGTGGTGACTATGTGGAAAAATAGTCAAAGGTACTTAGGACACTGCAAGTATTTTGATTTCCCTGTATGTGTATTATTGTGGCTGAAAGAAAATATGGGCAAAGACTTTACAATTTTCCTTCGTATCTATGTGATGTAAGGTAAAGAAACCACATAAATCACAATAAAAGGAACAGAAAAAGGATTGTGGCAAGACCAAACTTGAGGAGCCACAACAGGTCTTGGGGCCTACAGACGTACCAGAAGGGCTGATTTCCTGTAGGGGACATAGCAAAATTGAAAGGGCAATCTCAATGAGCAGCACCAAAGAGAAGCTTATGACACTACTGCTCAAAGTGTGATGTGGGGCTCTAGAAGTGTGTTTAGAAAATTACTACTTAAAATTAAATTACTGCGACTGAGCCTGTCAAATGAATTTAGTTAATATGATGAAAAGTTCACTCTGTTTACAATGTGTAAATTATTTTATCATTATTTGTGGACAGTTATTCTGCTGTAGTGGCCTAAGGTAAAGGTAAAGTTGTTCCTGTGCTTAATTAATTAAGCACTATGCCATGAAGTATGGGGGAGTGGATATATAGATCCAAATTTTCTTGACCTTGGCAATAATAGGTGAATGGTGAGCATCACACCCATCGCTTTACTCCCAGGGAAAGAGCTCCCAGTACTCATTGTATAGGAGGCTGGGTGGGCCGCAGAGCCAGTCTGGACGAGGTAAGGGAAGAGAAAATTCTTGAGCCTATCAGGACTTGAACTCCAACCACTTGGTTGTCCAGCCTGTAGCCAGTCGCTATACTGACGGTGCCATCCCGGCTCCCTGTAACACCATGTAGTCCTTTGAAAGTCAACCGACATTTCAGAAGAACATGGCATGTCCATCTTCAAGGCAGAATAAGCCAAGCAAGAAACCAGCAGGAAGCGAGCAGAGCTTTATGCTTGTTTCTTGCTTGGCTTATTCTTTGACCCTGAAGATGGAAGTGGCATGTTCCTCCAAAACTTCCGTTATCTTTCAGTGGATTGCATGACATTATATCCCAGATGATGGCTCTTCATAACCACCACTGTGAGAATCTCAAACCATGCAACTGTGGAAGTGGTCTATCTTTTGAAAAATTCCTCAGGAAAGTTCATATTTTTATATGAAAAACTAAGTTATTAATTTGTTTTGAATTCAAACCCTCTAGCCCAAGGGACTCAAGGATTTACATATCCTTGAATGGAAAGTACTAAAAACCATTACCAAAGACTTTATCAATTAAACTGTAGAATGTAATTCTGGTAAAATGTAGAAATATTGTTCACTTTAATTTTCACACAGTAAGATATACAGCTTCATTTTTGATTATAATACAAATATTCTGAATTCAGTTCATTCTGTTTTTATGTCTGATCTGATAAATGAAAATCAATGGGGAAGATCATAAATCTTTATAGAAAAACTTCATACTTTTTATATATATTTTGGTTTTACATTACACCTTCACAGAAGGCAGTTGTACACTACATTCTTATTATAACTTAAAGAAAAAAGAATTACAGTTTTAACAAAGCAGGCTTACCCAGCTGATATGCAAAATACCAAATCAATTATACTGTAATTTAACAATCTTAAGATTTCATACTTATAACTGTGAATCCAGAAAGCTGAGAATTTTGTCATTTTAAAACCTCAATTTGGAGACAATACTCAAACACTATTACGAGGTAAAACTCAAAAAACTAATGAACAGTTGTTCAGGATTACACAGTACCTAGTTTCATATGATAATGGAAGATGCTTCACACAGTTTCTGAGTTTGGTTTTTTAAGTACTGTTTAATGCAAATGAGCCACCAAAAAATACTGTAACAAAGGACAGCTAATGAACATTATTAAAGGACCTATTTTTATGAAGCATGATTTAAAATATAACCCTATTTCTTTACAGCATCGAAGAGATGGAGAACTTTGAACATTCCAAACTTACAAAAATACTTCTTTTAAACAAAATTATGTTCTCATCCTTTGCCATGTGGAAAGCTAGGTCATACCGTGTGCTTCACTTACATGTTCAATTGCTGCACTTTTGTTATTCTCTTCATGCTCCTGCACATTGATCCAATGGGAGCTTTAACTACTTTTCAGGCCCCAGTTATCATAATATTTTTAGTATCAGCATCAAGCATTGTCAGAAAACAGGTTAGTCTTTCTAAATTCATTAATACCAATATGTAAAGGGAAGTTTCAACTGGTAGATATTTTAGAAGTCCACAATACTCTTGACTAGTCTGCATGAGAACATATATGGAATACCTTGCAACTTCTTCAAACTGTATTTTCAACTTCATATATTTTATAACTGTATCCTGGTGACTGGGTGATTTGGATTAGTAACTACAATAGTTTGTACCTGGTAGTTCTAATCTTATAAAAAACTATAGCATTTTGTGAATTTTGGCCTATTTTAACATCATACAAGTCAGCAGAAAGAACAAACATGCGCACAATCAATACCAACTCTTGCTAACAGATTCACATCACCTCCATTGCACTCTGACTGCTACTTTCACTGAAGCCCACAGCACTATTTGAGTTAACTAATTCTTCTTCCAATGTATGTGCAGTGTTTTCTGTTGTTTGATGCAATGTGTCTGTATCATCCCAGTTAATTTTAAACCTGGTTACTCTGGGCTGTGAAGCCAAAATATTGCGAAAAACCTGTAACAAAACATCATTCAATTTAACAATCTCCAATACTCTGAAGGCTTCTCACATTGTAATTTTCCCATTCAGGATTGCTCTGGAGAAAGCCTTTCATAGCAACTTCACAAATTGATTGACATGTTACCATCACATGCTGAGTGTTATATCTTTGCTTTTTACGTTCTTTTACATCTCTACTAGTATTTTGCATACAGGAAGAGATAGCAGAAGTTTCATATTGTCCATCAATGTTGTTTTTGCAGTGTTTGTAGACGGTAACAATTATGTAACATAAAGGAATGTGAAAAGTTTTATTGTGTGAACAGAAAACCTGACTGGTGCAATGTTTCTGACTTTAATTCCCCCGACTATTTATTATAAAATATTTATATTTTCATTAACGATAAAAAATTTGACACATTTTCATAATATTGGTCTGAAAAGTTCATACACCAAAGGCAATACAGGTAGGACACATAGTAAATTATACTGTATAAACTTTTCTATGCCACATTTCATATCAGCACTACTTGCACCACAGCCGGTCACGGTAGCAGAGCAGTCTAAGGCATGTACTGTCTTCGCTCACTCGGAAGCCGGGACCGTGGGTTCGAATCACACTCAAGGCATGGATGTTTGATATGTGTATCTGTTTATTCTGTGTTTAGGTAGAGGCCTTGTGATGAGCTGATAACGCATCCAAGGAGTCCTAACATCTGTAAGAATGATCAAGAAACTGAGAAATCAGTCCTATATGCTCCAAAATAGGAGCGAGATGGAAAAAAAACTGCTTGCATAATCATGTTGCTTCAAGGAAATATGGTCATGACTCATATTAGGGTGTGTTTGTATTAGCCTGCAGACTGACAGTAAGAAATTAATGATACATAGCTCCCAAAACTTCTGAATGCTAAGTTTTCATCTTCGCTGCTTTAACCACACAAACTGAACAGCAATTTGATATTATTTGCTGCATTTCTAGGCTCAATGAGAAACACATCTTCCAAATACTCACAATTTGTCTCTGAGTTATTACTTTCATCTTGCAGTGCAATACTAACCTTATCAAACTGTGGTTGCGTTGGAGGATTTTCCTTAAGCTCGGGGTCTGTGTATTCATTGTTTATGAAGTATCCAACCCGCACAAACTCTTGCTGTCTGTAAGAGCATGTAAGCAGCACCACTGTCACACCAAGTGCATCAACAACAGGGATCTTCAGCACATCTGGAGGGTTTGCCTGCAAGCAGTGCTTACATTCAGCATGTATTTCCCTTTAGTAGGATAAACTATCCTCCATAAGCTTAACCGTTAAACCCTTTGATTATTCTACCCTACCCAGAGCTTGGGTACATTATTCAACGTGGCTCTGCCCCAAATAACTTAATCCATGACTTTGATATATACTGTCACATGTCAGTGACTTAGACATGGGGCTTGGATTCACAGGACTCTTATAATGCACAATTACAAACAGTTATAACACTATCGTGAACCTACAAATTTTACATCTCATTACAGCATATGCTAGGTCTCAGTCTGTTATGCACATTCTCACTGGATGGCAGCTGGCTTGCAACTAACTCTGGCTGGTGTCCTCATTATATAGCCTTGGCATGGACTGCATTGAAAACACATAAAGCCTTTCTGTATGCTGCAGTACACTGATCTGTAGTGTGTGTAGATCCATAAAATGGTTGTAGTTACATCCGATTACCAATTCTAACCTCACATATAGTCAATAACCCATGATAATATGTTCAATAGGTTGCTGCTGAACATTATAAAAAATTATATTACTACTTCAGTTGGTTGTAATAATTGCTTACAAGTATATGCATGTACCTGCGCTGACCATGAAAACAGATTGTTGTGATACTGAATGCAAATGTGGGTAATTATTAATACTTAAACTTGTAAAAGTATAAAATGATCTAGCACAGTCTCTAACAGAAATTAGTACCAGGAATCTTCCTTGGGGTAAAGGGTAGCCAGCGTGTAAGGCTGATCGCACCAACATATGTGAGCCGATTGTCTGGAAAATGCGGGAGCCTCAACGTCTCACAACCTTATGGCCTCCGTGGTCTGTTAGGGCAACCGCACACCAACTGCATCAAGACAAGCCTCAAGATATGAGACAAAAGACGCAGTATTGCTTCATTCATGATTCGTTAGCATGACAACTCAGACCGATGTGCAGTGGTTTTCATAATCTCATTTGTTTCAACTGTGCTCCTTTCTTTGCATCATGTCGCAGACATCGTGTCCTGACTGTTACATGTCTTGACATATGCTAGTGTCTGGCCTACCCTACAGGCGTATTTTATACTGTATTATCAAGTATCCAACTTTACCATCGCAATTGCAGTTCAGTAGTGTGTGAATATGGTAATCATGTGTTTGCCTGATGATGGCTTTATGTGCCAAAACATGTAGTCAAGCTAATTCTAGCCTTCACCTTTATATTGTTGTGTTGTGACAGACTTTAATAAGAAGAAAGCAGTCTTCTGGGATTTGGCGCTGTGTATATGTGGTNAATATATTGTCTTAAAATGTAAATGAGATTCTACTATGTCTTACTGTGTTACATATGGGCAGTGTGTCAGGAGACACAAAGGGTTAACACTGCATTAGCCCTAGGAGCCATGAGAATTCAACACAGAAGAAAACAGGTTAATACTATATTTATTATACCTGGAAGACAAACATATGCTTCCCTTCAGGAATTGGTCCAACATATATTGTGTCCAGGATCTGGTCATGTTCCTCACTTTCTGCAGAACCTACATAGATCATCTTCCACTCTAAGTCTAGAAGAAGAGCACATCCATTTTATGTTATTTAAATCATAAATATGAACATTCAACAATACTTTACTGTCATGAAAAAAACAGTCTGTACTGACATAAATTCAATAATACCCTACATAAGATATGTGCTAAGTTATATTACAAATTCTCCAATACCATAAACAGAACTGATATATGGTGACCAGATGCATTAGTGGAGTCTGAATAGCCTCTTTTAGGGCCAGTATCCTTAATAAAACCAAACTTGAGCAGTAGAGAAATGGTTTATATTAGATCAATTAAAGGGAGAGGCAAAGTTGTGAACATAACTTATTATACCACGAAATACTATCCTTTCTATGAAGATAGTCAGGTCATGCTGTGTCCTTCAGACTTAAATCTTGGAGATGACTCATTCATATTTCGGAAGGATCATGGCTATTGTGAGTTTTATAATGGTTTCTCTTAGGCCCTCAAATAAATGTTGAGTTAGCACCTAAAATTAAGCCGTGGCCGCTCCTAGTCATTATATTTTACTATTCAACACAATATGATTTGAGCAAGTAAATCATTAAATAAACGGTGCATTAAAAAAATGTCTGCCTTCCACTGATGATTGAGTAAGAAAAACTTGTGTTATTGTAGGTTATGTTAATAATTCCAAGGTAATTTTTGGTGCTGATGGTCTCTGAATACATCCTACTACTTTTGCATACTGGAAAAAATACTATAACTCAATAAAAATACTAATTTGTATAAACTGGATTAACTTAGAACATACACTGGGGATAAATATATAGTGCATCTAGGTACCTTCTTTCAGTTCCTCTATACATTCGAAAGTTAATTCAAACTGGAAAGGATTAAGAAAAGGTGACGGATTATCCAACACGACAACGTTACACAACTGAACTTTGGCCATTCTTCTTAATTCTGAAATAAACACAATGGTCATTAAAACCAACATAAAAATGATTAATACTCATTACATGTCTCTACTTTTAGTTACCAGATGAATTACAATTGCTGGGAATTAATCTGCTTCTAAATAATAACACCAAAAACCAATAGCAAATTAACTGCTTAACGCTAACTGACGTACTTCTACAACCTAAAAGTATGCACAGCCAAGACAAGCATATATAATCTTGGCGGCAAAACTACCCACCCGATCGCACCCGAGATCCCCGAGATCTTACTCATCAGAGTAGCCAACCAAATACCATGTGGAAACTAATATACCTATTGTGGACAGCATGGGAGGAAGTCATTCATTCTTTTATTAATCCTGTAGATCATGATACAATGATATATGACAAGTCTTTCTAAATTCCGCCCCAGCAGACGCAAATCCTTCCCCCCACAGTTAAATAAATCTTTTTATAACAGTTGTACTCATCTCATAATTTCAATTTTCTGAACAATGTGCCGACCCAGGAGGCAGGTGTTTGGTTCGACTGTGCTGTTCAATAGCCCTGACTGTGGGACCGGAATGATGAAAGTTACCTTGTCACACTATGGTCATTGCAGTTCGGTAAACTTACAAACGTACGTCTAAGCCGTCTAAGATTACTTACACAATTACAAAAGAAAGACTAATAATTTCTATTGTTAATATTTTGTATATTCTTCATTCTCTAGAATTTTGTGTTTCTCGTAATTCACCCCCCTTCTTCCCTTTCAAATAGTTTTATATTTCAGTTTGTTTATAGGACTAGGGTAAGGAAGTAGATCCGTCATAAGCGTCATAAGCAGTTAAATATTTATTTATTTATTTATACGTATTAAAGTTTTTTTTTGGGGGGGGGGGACCTGCTGGCTCCATTCTTGGGGAAGAAGACAGCACGTTCATCAGAAATGTTTACATTGTCATATTATAAGGGATCACGACAGAAAACTGTAAACCTTGCGGAATGTTAATAACCTATAAGAAATAAACACGGTTCTGCAGGAAGTAGGAAACCAACCAAAACGCACTGCATTTTTTTTCAAACAAAGCAATGTAGGCAGGACTATAAATATAAAATTTTAGTTAAGAATATGGAAATAGAAAATATGAATAGTATAAACTTTCTGGGTGTGGAAATAGACAGCACCTTGAGTTGGGATGTTTATATTGATAGAACCTGTAGTCGAATTAGTCGTAACTTGTTTTTATTAAATAGACTTGCTAAATTATTAGACCTAAAGGGCAGAAGAATGTTGTATTATGGCTTGATCTTCCCCTTTTTATCATATGGAATTGTAGTATGGGGAAACAGTGCTAAGGCACTTACTAAAAGAATTTTTATTCTTCAAAAAAGAGCCGTACGGTACACTGCTGGGCTAAAACCCTTAGAATCTTGTAGAGACAGTTTTGTACAACTAAAGATTTTAACATTATATTCAATGTACATATTTCAAACCATTTTATATGCAACTAATAAGTGTAACTGTACGGTAAATAAACAAGTACACACTCACAATACTAGAAACAAAAATGACTACCATAAATGGGTGCATAACTTAGAACTTTATAACAGCAAACCTTCTGTTGCTGGCTGTATCTTTTATAATAAATTACCCAATAGTATTAAACAGCTTGACAATAAAAACCAGTTTATAAGGGAACTTAAGAATTTGCTCATAAATAGATGCTACTACTCAATTGATGACTATATGAATGATAAATTCTGTAATGCTGGATAGTTATATATGTTGCATGTGATATTGCATTACATATTTTGTGAATTTGTTGGTTTATAATTTGTTGTAATTTTGTTGGTTTTACAACTCGTTTCATGAGATATGTCCTATTTTAATGTAGTCTGATCTGTGATATGGGTAAATATGAATTGATTAATGTATAGATAATTCTGAATTGTTGGAATTGTTGCGTGTTTGATGTGAATACTCATTGCATATTTGCGAGTTTATTGGTTTTGATCTTATTGTATCTTGCTGATTTTATAATTTATTTGAGTGAATGAATGTTTGGATAAATTTTGTTATGCTGCATATTGATATATGCTAGATATGATAGTCATTACATATTTTGTGATTTTATTTGTTATGAATTCTCGCACCTTGCTAATTTTATAATTTATTACTTGTGTCATGTTCTACACCTGTGTGGTCCGATCTATGGATAGTGAATGTTGAATGTATGAATGTATGGATGGACTGTGATATATTAGATTGTGATACATGCTAGATGTAAGTAGTCATTACATATCTTGAGTGTTTACTGGTTTAGAATCTACTGTATTTTGTTAATTTTATAATTTATATTATGTGACATGTCCTATATCAATGTAATCTGATCTACAGGATGAATAAACATGAATGAATGAATGAATGAATGAATGTGGAACAACATAACCATCTTTTTCTAACTTCCCATCACATTTCCTTTCTATACTGACTATTTTTGCCCTTTGTCAATCTGTGGACAATCATCGAGACCGACCGAGACTGATTCCAAAACTGATTATATCAAAACCGATCGAGACAATCTAGTTGCAAATGGAGGCTGAAAAGAAAGGTTATCAATGTAAGATTTGAGGCTTTCACGGCGGTGACTATGAAGAAAGCAGTCTTCTGGGATTTGGCACCGTGTATATGTGGTTATACACGGTGCCAAATCCCAGAAGACTGCTTTCTTCAAGGTTATCAATGTTACCGATCGCGTTTGCAATTGGCGGTTGACACGGAGTAAGGCATAGAGATGGCAGTAAAGTTGTTGGTGCCACTGAAAGCAATGTGTTATCTATGACCAAGGAGGTGGGAAAGAAATGTTGGTGATCGGGGAATGTATGAACGTTTCTTGTGTAATTAAATTGTTATTATTGCACTGATAGTTTTTATTACGCATAAAGGACGAGGTGTCGGCTATTGCTGCTAATTGTATATTTTACATATATGAATATAATATCCCAGTTGTGTAAGTATGATCATATGTATCCGTCATTCTTGCTGATTGACAGCTTAAGACTATTTGACGAAGAAATTAATTTTTCATGGAAAGTAACATTATAAGCACTTCTTGATCAGTATTTAGTATTGAATGTGTTCATATTCTATGTAATATGTTCATACGAATATAGTGCGTGAACTTCAATATAAGTACGACTACATCGGTCACGCAATTGACTTGCTATGTTTAGCTTGGATCAATAGACGTTGTGATGTAATGTGGATATTGGTGGAATTGAAAGTGTTCGTTAAAGATTGCATGTTGTATGGTTTGGGGGCGTGCCAAAAGATTCACGGTGGGTATAAATGACTGTAGGCAGAATGTTGTAGTTCAGCTGTGATTGTATATTGCTTACGGTAATAATGGTATGCCTAGCGAAAAACTTTATCGATCACATTTGCCCTTAGTACCTCACATTCGCTGTATATTATGTTTTATATTAAGAAAAATAAATAAAATATAACAATTGCTGTATGTACTTGTATGTGCTATTGTGAATACTAGCAGTGTCATCTATGTCATGAAAGGATTAATGTAAAATTTGAAGTATTTAATAGAAATGAGGTTAGGTTGGGTAAGACAGATACACGCCGTTCACATGTGGAGGCAAATATAATATAGAAACGCAGTGTAATCTTTTCAACTATGAAAAGTTTAATGGAATTGTGCCATTTACATTCATTTAGTATTAATGGAACATGTCATTGTTATGAAATGTAATGAGAGTTTTATTTCAAAATGTGACATTTATTTTGCATGAAGTAAAAAGTAAAGTAAAGCTATCCCTGTAACAGGCCATGAAGGCCCATAGGGTTGTGAGACGTTAAGGGTCCCACATTATCTAGACAATCGGCTCAAAGATGGCGATAAGGTTGTCAGCCTTACACGCCGGCCGCGCTTTACTCCCCAGGAAAATTATTTATTTAATTCCTGGTACTTGTTTCTGTTAGAGGCTGAGTGAACCTCAGGGCCATAGTGCGGTCAGAAGGATTAGGTCAACTGAAAAAATCCAATGACCTCATCGGTATTTGAACCCGCGACCTTCCGACTTGTAGCATAGAGCCGAATCTTATTCCTCGTAATGGAAATCCGTTATTTGGTATGCTGTTTTCAGAATAAATATTTTGTGATATTGATAATTGTAATTGAATGCAGTGGAATAACTTTAAAAACTGTGTTATTTGCATATAGCATTGTTAAATTTTTTGTTACTCTTCTGTTCATATCATTACCTCCATGGCATACCTTTGGATTGAAATGTAATATGGTGTTTAGAATTTCCATCTTATTCATTCTAGACTTAGCCTGAAAACACATAGGCACAAATGGTAGGATGATACAGGGTGGAGTCAGTAGATGGGTCCAGGTGGAAGTAAAACAGCTGTAATGGATGTAATAGGTTTTCTATGTGCATCACTAGGTAGCAGCACTGTCCAGCTTCATGTTGTAGGTAGCAGACGCACATGTACATGTTCAAAGGCTGGTTTCAGTAGTCAAAATGGTGACTGCTTGAGGAGCATCCTACCGAAGAGCAGAATTCTGGTATGCATTTATTGTGGACACAATGCAAACAATATTGATAAATGTTTTTTGTTTATGGTCAGAAGTGTTTGTTGCATAAAGTGGTTGAAAACTGGGTTAAAAAAATTCTGTGAGGGATGTTCGAAAGTCACAGGTGATGCCTGGCCAGGTCACCCTCTTGAGATTATGAGTGGATCAACTGTGCAGCAGGTGGAAGAGTTGATTCTAGCTGACAGGAGGATAATGATAGACAGTGTAACTACTGCACTAGGGTGTTTCCATGGTTTAGCATACAGCATCGTGCATGATTGTTGCAGTGGAAAGATCCCACTTCACCCTCTTGTTCAACCAGAAAGTTTAAGGTTATGCCATCAGCTGGGAAGGTTCTGCTTTCTGTGTTTTGTGTTTCTGAGGGAGTACTGTTAGCCAGTTTTCAGAAGTGTGGTGAAAATGTGAATTCTGCATTGTACTGTGAAGTTCTGTTGAAGCTTCAGGATTCAATAAACATCCAGGCCAAGTACCAAGAGGGGTGCTGCTTCATCATGACAGTGCCAGACCCCATACAACACAAGCAACCCAGGAGAGAATTAAAAAACTATGGTGGGAACCTCTTGAACATCTGCTTTACGGCCCGACTTGGCCTCTAGTGACTTCTGTCTGTTTGGTCTGCTAAAAAGACATCTTGGAGGCAAATGTTTCAGTGATGACGAAGAAGTTGAAATGGAGATTAGGAAGTGCAGACAGTCAAAATACTTCTGTACTGTGGATTTCAATACATTGATAAAGCGATGGGACAAGAGATATGTTGTGAAATAAATGTTTTTGCCGTGCTTGAATATCACATATTTTACATTTTATATCCATTTGTGACATATTTACTGACTCTCCATCATATTAAAATGGATATTTAAGGATTAGGGTGCAAGGGTGTAAACAAGATTTGCCTGGCACAGGATAAGGGCCAGTGGCTTGCTTTTATGAAGCCAAATATGAACTTTTACATTCCATAAGAGATGTGGAGTTCCATGGCTAGTGAATTGTTGTTAGCTGCTGACTGAGTATTTTGTAAACACTGAATAATAAATACAATAGGGAGCTCCATGAACAACATAGACAGAGATTGCTGATAACGTATTTTACATGGTTTTGCTTTGTCTTAATGTATGTGTGAATGATATGCAATAAGAAATGTGCCTTGATTGGTCATTTGGCAGGGTAGAAGCTCATTATAAATGTAGATTGTATATGGGGTACCATAGTTTTAGAGGAGCCTGCTCCCTCCATCTTCCAACTAGAATGTGGAATATTCTGTCCTGCAGATTCCACTGGAACATTTGTGCCCATCTACTAAACTACATCATATCACATACCAGAATATGATCTAGCCACTGCTGAGAGAACCTCAGAATTCGTAAATATTAGAGTATTGTAACATTAATGTTTGTTATATATGTATAGCCAAGTCATATGAATGAAATATTGATGAAAAGGTGGGTTCCCTGTACTTGTGTGGTATAAAAATAAAGCTATCCCTGTAACAGGTCACAGAGGTGAATAGGGTTATGAGACGTCTAGGCTCCCACATTTTCTAGACATCTGCCTCACATATGGTGGTGAGGTTGTGAGCCTTATGCGCTGGGCGCACTCTACTCCCAGGAAGATTCCTGGTACACATTCCTGTTGGAGGCTGAGTTGACTTGAGGGCCGTAGTGCGGCTGGAAGGATAAGGTCCATGATTTATTCTGACCATCTTACAGTGCATACATTTAAATGTAAATGTATGCACTGTAAGACGATCAGAATAGATCATGGACATAAATCAGTGCAACAGGATGCTAAAATATAACAGGATAAGGTCAATTGAAAAATCCACTGACCTTATCAGGATTCGAACCCACGACCTTTTGACTTGTAGCACAGTGGCTCAACGAGCTACACTACTGCGTTCCCCTAGTTGTGTAGTATGTATGTCACTTATTTATTTAACTGTGAGGGAGTTTGGAAAGTAATGATATTGGCACCACTGTTTATTTGTGGTGGCCTTGATTGAGATGATGGATGCACTGTGTTGCTTCATCAAGTATGTTTGACTACTGGTTCAAAGATTGCCTTCTGTTTTATGTGTGTGTGTGCTCATGTGCATGCTCACATAGGCACATGCAGTTTCTTGTATGAAATCTGCTTTTCAGTTGTGAAACAGTGATATAAGGCAGAGATGTGTGATACAGTTTTGTGTGAAGCTTGGGAAAAGCAGTGAAGAGACGTTAAATATGTTACAGTGTGTGTGGAACAGATTAATTGAACCCAGCTACAGTGATTTTGATGGGGTAAGCATGCTAAAGTTGGAAGCAAAAGGGTGATTGATGGTGTTCTAAGTGGGAGATGAAGCACTGTTATCACAGATCTGTGTATAGCTAAAGCTGAACAACTGCTGAAGGACAGGAGATTATCATTAAGGGAATTGTTTGGCAATTTAAACATGTAATTGTAGAGGGTTCATCTTAGTACAGTGGAATTAGGCGTAATTCAATTGTGTGGAAGGTGGGTTCTTTGTGACCTTGGTGAAGAGCAGAATAGAAGTTGTGTGGAAGTCTCCCAACAAAATATTACTTTTATTGAACAGAACTCTGACTTTTTGTCATCATTAATGGACTGTGGTGTGTCATGCATAAGACATTTTGACTTGGAATTGAAACAGTGGTCATATGTATGGAAACACAGAAATTCTCTATCATGAAAGAAATTTTGCACAGTATCACTGTCAATATCATGGTGAGGGGGTTTGAGTATGCCAGGGACCCTGAGAACTATACCAGTGGTAGAGTAGCTACTGGCAGGGCCTCCCTTGCTGGACAGGTTAAAGGGTAGGCATCAGACAAAGAGAGACACCAAAAACCAGAAACTAATGCTGGAAGCAGTGTCATCGGCGGCAACTTGAAGCACAGAGTAAATGATGCTAGAGATGGTTCAAGTTCGTATAGCAACAGGCGTGACCAGAGTGGTTTGAATGGCTGTTGTACTGCAATGTGGAAAGCAAATGGAAAAACTACCACATTATCACTTCCTGGATAGTCTCTTTCCAAAAACAGAGATACCATGTATGGGAGATGTTTTCTTTGGAGACAAAACAAACCAGAGGGGCAGATAGAAATGACCAGAAGACAAAGAAGACGTAAGAAGATGCTGGATGACTTTGGGGACAGAAGAGGATATTTTTATTTGAAGGAGAAAGCTCGAGATCGCATTAAGTGGAGGAACTGTTTTGGAAGAGACTGTGGCCCTGTCTGTTGTCTGACAGATTAGTGATGATGATCACTGTCAAGACAGGTATGCTGATATTGTTTTTTTTTTACTCAAAAGTCATTATTCTTCAATACTGCCTACATTGGAAGCAACCTGTGAATGGTGTTTCCTCTGCAAATGCATTTAAAACTCATTTAAGGAACACTGGTAGGAAAAAGAAGATGGAGTTCTAGATGGAATGGTGGTCTCTGCTTCAAGACAGTGTGTGGCCAGATATTGCTCTTGTGACAATGAAGATGCTTGCAGACATTGGTGAATCACCTGCAGAACACCCTCCCTGTACTGTAGACCTTGCCCCATGTGATTTTTGGCGTTTGCAGTGCTTAAGCATGAGCTGCAAGGACAAATTAAGCACTAATAAAATGAAAGTAAAGGTATCCCTGTAACAGGCCGTGGAGGCCCATTGGGTTGTGAGATGTTGAGGTTCCCACATTTTCAAGACAGTCGGCTCATACGTGGTGGCAAGGTTATCAGCCCTACGTGCCGGCCACCCTTTACCCCCAAGAATATTCCAAGAATATTCCTGGTACTCATTTCTGTTAGAGGCTGAGTCGACCCTAGGGCCATAGTGCAGCTACAAGGATCGGGTAAATTGAAAAAATCCAATGACCTCATTGGGATTCAATCTTGCGACCTTCCAGCTTGTAGCATAGTGCCTCAACCAACTATACTACCGCGTGCCCCAATGAAGCACTAATACTGATGTGAAAGAAACCACTTTCATTGTTCTATGCAGGATGTCTGGAAATGGCCTACTGCATGTGGTTAAGAAGTGGGTGGGGAGCTGCAAAAATGTATAGCACAGGAAGGGTGTTACTTCCAGAAGGAAAGTGCCCAGACCTCAGGAATCCTCAGATAATGAGTAATGTGAGTAGTCTCATTACATTTTGAACGCCCCTTGTAAATCACATGTTAATAGCTAACATGTGTTGATGCATAATTTGTATTTAATACTTATGAACATCTGTACTTCTGCAGGGTGGGATCAGAGACAATGCAATGATGCAAGAACATGGAATCTTGCAATGGCACACTGACATCAGAAAGTGGTGCTGCTACCACCATCACAGCCACCACCACAACCACCGCCACCATCTCAGTGAGCAGTGGAGGTGCCCATGTGGGGGAAGATGAAGACTCCAACTTTGATCGTCTGACTCAGATATTGCCAGAATGTTTTGTCAGTGTCAAGCTTGAAAATAACGAGGACACCTGTGCCACAGAGACATCTGCTAACACAGTAAGTATTGTACTGTAATTTGCAGTTTAAGTAGATTAGATTCCATCAGTCTGTGTTCCTCCCTTAATGTCGGACACCAAGTTTCACACCCATACAGGACAAGAGGCAAAATTATAGTTCTATATAGTCTAATTTTTATGTTTTTAGATGACAGACAGAAGACAATAGGCTGTGGACCGTGTTGTAGCTTCCAGTCCAGATCCTTTTGTCTTCTCGTCTGCTGTCTAAAAACAAAAATTAGAATATACAAAACTATAGTTTTGCCTGTGGTTCTGTATGGGTGTGAAACTTGGTCTCTGACATTAAGGGAGGAACATAGACTGGGGGTGTTTGAGAACAGGGTGTTGAGGAGAATATTTGGACCAAAGAGAGACGAAGTGACAGGAGGTTGGAGAATACTGCATAATGAGAAGCTTCGTAACTTGTACTCCTCACTGAGTATAATTACAGTGATCAAGTCAAGGAGGCTGAGGTGGGCAGGGCATGTAGCACGAATGGGAGAGAAAACGAATGCATATAGGATATTGGAGGGAAAGCCAGAAGAAAAGAGACCACTGGGAAGACCAAGGCATAGGTGGGTGGACAATATTATAATGGATCTCAGAGAGATAGGATGGGATGGTGTGGATTGGATTGATCTAGTTCAGGGTAGGGATGCTGGAGGGCTCTTGTGAAGATGGTAATAAACCTTCGGGTTCCATAAAATGCGGGGAAATCCTTGAGTAGCTGCACAATTGGCAGCTTCTCAAGAAGGATTCAGCTCCATGAGTGAGTGAGTGAGAGTTGATTAGATTGGATTAAGGGAGTGTGCCGTACCAATCCTTAGGGTGAGGGCACACCAAGGAAACTGGCAACTGCAATGCAATCTCAATTTCCGAGAATTGTTATCAGCATGAATGGAATACATGTTACTTAATGGAGCAGTGCAAATTGAGGAAACGGCAATGCAACTCACAGAAAGACTGAGAAACTCAACTTTGAAGCAATGGAGCATGCCAGTCTTGCGTTGCTGCATGGTTTCCTAGTGTCAGCCGTTCTACAACTCGCTTCAGTGATTCATTTGTTTCTTAAGATAGCACGAAATGTTGACGAAGCTGCTAATTTTGTTTTTGTGCAGTTAATTGAGCAAAAGCCTTATATATCTGAAAAATGCCACCCAGACTGTGCTAGGCAGGACAAAATAGATTTGGCTTGGGAAAAAATTTCTAATGAGATGAAGGAGTCTGGATCCTGGTTAATTTCTTTCGAAACATTATTATCACTTCAGTTTAAATTGTCACAGAAGAACACATGCATGCAATGTTTTCTTTCCCTAACACTGTGTTTCAGCATCTTGTTGCATCAATATATGATTTAGTTCACATATATTTCCATCTTAAATGCAGCTTATTATACAGTCACCCTTCTTCCACATTACAGAATTCATCTGCATACAGCCATCATCAGGTGTCTTCTGTCTTACTAAAATAGTTGCACTATATGTCAGAATTTTGCATCACATATGAACGCGATATTTCCTGATTAAAATACCGTATTTACGCATGTATAGGCCGCATGCGTGTATAGGCCGCAGCACAATTTTCAGACAGAAATTATAGAAAAAATAATTTTGTTGGAATATTATTTCAGGAGTAGAACACCCTGTATTACTAATTATGAATATAATTTTTTTTAAATGAAGTGTGATTTCGAATATAAGCCGCACCCCAGTTTTCCTCTTGAATTTTTGGCAAAAAATGTGCAGCCTATACATGCGTAAATACGGTATGTAAATTGACCTTAATTAAAATAAATTAATTAACTTCCAAATATTTTCCTTATGGTTGTCCTCCTGTCTTCTCACGCCATCTCAGCCAGTCTCAGCTACCACCGTAGTTTGACAGAACCGATATTATTATTATCTTTCATTGCAGAAGGTATGTTCATGCATTTAAAAAATACCATCATTCATTATGTCAGACGAACATACTCACTGAAGCTGATGTGAGCACCACTCGGACATAAATTTCCTCAGTGTGTGCTTACTAATCTGGAAACCAGTTGTCTGCTTGACATTGACGACATTTCTCGGAAATTGCGGTTGCATTGCAGTTACCAGTTTCCTTGGTGTGCTCTTGTCCTTACACTGTGGCTGTGTTTGATCTTCTGTTTCTCTCTCCTGTTATTTAGTTGTTGAATGAAATGCAGTACTTTAACTCTGAGAGAGGAAGCATTTAATTACCATGTCAGAAATATGCTGCGGGAGAATTTATTATGTGGGCATTTAAATTTCATGTTTATTGTGTTTGGTTATACTTAGCAAGGGATAACATCTCTAATAATTGATGGATTTCAATGAAACTTGGGCTTGTTATTCGCCTTTCATCTGACTCTTCAGAAGCATTGATAGTGTTTTTTTTTCACTGCTATTACACAGCATTTGCAGCTGACATAGCAACAAAACAAAAAACTCTGTGGTTTCAGTCTGCAAGCAAACTATACTGACTGAGTGACCGCTGCTTGTGAGAGAAGTTAGTGCCAACTTTAGTGGATAGAGGGTGTTGCGTGGTCAGTGCAACGAATCCCCACAGCCATTAATTTCGGTTTTCTATACTAGAGCCGCTGTTTCTTTGAAATAGCTCCTGTGTTATCCTCACAAGGCTGCGTGGATCCCGCTCCAGACCCACTATATCTCAGAAAATCTGGTAGCGCCAGGAATCGAATTTGGACCTCTGTATCAGTAGTCAGGAACTCAGACCATTAGATCACAGAGGCGGTCGCTGACATAGCAATGTAATTTTAAATAAAACAGTGTGAACATAAGCAAAAATATGTGGTTATTTTGTATTGTTTAGGTTTCACTTACACAAGACACTATACCACAAGAAACTCCATCAGGGTGTTCTGAAGTTTCAAGTGAGCCAGCACCATCAAGGTTAGCAGTGAACATGCAGAACTCTCAGCACACATCCGCAACTGGAAGTCGCATTGCTCCCTGTTTTCACCACAGGGGGATGACTGGGTGCTCTGCGATACCAGAATTACCTCCCTGGCTTCAGCATTGTTACACCGCAGGACAGATATCAAGTGGTGAGAGTGTTCAACAAGGATCTCAGCACTTCCACCAATCTGCAACATATCTGGGTCATGAAGGCCCCATCATTCAAGGAGACAGGTATAACATGCTTGTGTTGTTTGGTCTAACAGAAATGAGTACCAGGAATTGTTCTTGGGCGGGAGGGGGGTTAAAGGGTGGCTGGCACATAGGCTTACAGCCTCACCGCCATCTGGGAGCCAGTTATTTGGAAAATATGGAAACCTCGACATCTCACAACTCTATGGTCCTGCACAGCCCGTTACAAGGACAGCTTTAGCTTCTTTTTTTTTATCTTTACATTTATGGGCTTGGCTCATGCCATATTACATGTCAGGTTCTCTTTTCTGATTATTCCTTGATTTTCTTCGTCACTTCTATGTTCAAAACTGAAGGCTTAGTACTGCTAACACAAGCATGCTTTTGGATCTTGTTATGAACCAGTGAATGGATTAATGAACTTTCTTCTTGTTAAGAGTATCGACTGTAATTAAAATTAACTGTTTAACATCATGTATGTACAATGAGTAAGCCTTTTATCTGAGGACAGAGACGGGGTCCAGTCTCTCAAATGTTGCTTTAATTAAAATTAAAATGAAAGATAATGTCTGGAGATAGGGACTAGCTCTGTTAATTGAGCCCAACTGAGTAGGCTTTTTACCTAATGATGGGGACTGAATCTGCAACGTTTTGTTGCTCTAAATAAAAATAGGACAATAAATAATGTCCAGAAAGTCAATTATTATATTTTGATCAGAAAACAAGGAGGGAAGGAGACTGTTTGGAAGACCTAGGTTTAGATCTAAAGATAATTTTGAATGGATCTTGATCAACCAGGATGGCGGACTGGATTTATCTGGCACACAATAGAGATAATTAATGAATCTTTTAATTCTATGAAAGGTGGAAATTTTGTTGACTACATGAGTGACAATTAGCTTCTCAAGAACTTTGCTGTATGGATTTATTGAGTTAGACTCAAAAGTGATATGTATATTATATGGTTATGCACAGTGATAACTGTGTTTCTCCCATTTGGATCCCCATTATCAGCAATGAAGTCACCAATTCACATACTGTATGACGTGATATATGTTTTTATTAATTTCTATTAGGTTCTAAAAAAAATAAAAAAAAAAGGTTCAGTGATTGAGGCTAGCTCTTTCTAAGGGACCCAACAGAATAGGTGTTTTCCCTCACCTGAGGACGGAAACAGATCCAGTTTCTGAAATGTCGTTTTTTTCTTAGTTATCTTAAAACCAGGATGATGGATAAAGTCCCAAAACCCAATATCTATATGTGTTATACACCATCGTCAGAATCCTATAGTAACTACATAACTGTGTTATGTTATGAATAGCATGAAGCTGATGCAGTGTTCTTATTACAGATCTTTGAAACCTGGAGGGGGTGTTTGTCGTCTAGATGGTACTCCTGCTGGGATTGGTGGCCTTTCAAATGGTGATGTGTGTGATTCTAACACTTTCCTCAATTATGTTTTGAACCAGCAGAGGTCAAGTGGAATTTTCTTATTTGACCCCATCCGTTCCCTTCATCCTAATGACTCAAACACAGAAACAACATCAACAGCATCTGCACATGAAAGTAGTACAAATACAGATTCTAGTAGGCATCAGAATCTCAGCCAGAAACATGCCATCGATTCCTCAGTCAAACATAATTCCCCACCATCTGTTATTCCTCCAGTTGAGGGTAATCCTGCACGTCGTGATGCTGCTACCAATACTGTCTCAAAATACTTACAAACAATACCTTTGCTGCCCATCCATGCTGATGCGAAGACCAATACTGGTGACCACTCAGACGATAGGGATATACTTGTAACTCGGACGCAGTCCAAAGCATGCCACTTACATCATTGTACTAAATGTATTATGTCAAAAATTACTTACATGTGTCATGAAGAGAAATCATTGCAAGCACAGGATGAAAGCACAGGCCAGAACTTAACTGCTAGCTTTACTGTAGGTGCTGCATGTCACAAAGTTATGAACATGAGGAATTGCTCTACTGCTGGCTGTACTAATCATGTTCCAGACGCTAAAGCTGAAAATGGGAAGTTACACACCAACTTCGTCATTGTCAGTACAGATGGAAATGGTGACTTAAACCCTCATCAGGAGCAGCAGTGCAGCCATGGACCTTGTTCTTGTTCAGTGGAAAATACTAATGTTGTAGGTCATACTATAAAAACTGAAGGTTTGTCAGCTCATAGCTTTACAGACGCCGACAATATTGGCAAATTTGGCAACATGCAATTAGGCCGTGAAATTGTTTCAGATTGCAAGTGTATGAATGATTGTGGTAATATGTGCATTAAGGACAATCGTAGATTGCATTATGTTGATATTGATAGGCCATTTACTTGTGAGATATGCTTCAAGAACTATCCTACAAGCACTGCATTAATGAACCATATGAGGTACCATCGTGGACAGCGGCCGTATCAGTGTGAAGTGTGTAACAAGGCTTTTGCAACAAATTCTCATCTCGTTACTCACCGCAGAGTTCATACGGGTGAACGGCCTTTTCAGTGCAGGCTGTGCAGACGCAGCTTTGCAGACCGCTCGGCATATGTCAAGCATGAACGTACTCATGGTCCTAATGGAACGATAATCAAGAGATACAAATGTGATGAGTGTGGTAATTCATTTGTAGATTCTTGTGGATTGAAAAAACATGTTCGGATTCATACTGGAGAGAGACCATATTGTTGTTCTGTATGTCAGAAAACTTTTTCAACAAGTTCAACCTTTGTTGCCCACAAGAGGATTCATAGTGGAGAAAGACCATACAAGTGTGAAAACTGTGACAAAATGTTCATCACCAAGTCTCATCTCTTGACTCACCGACGAACACACACGGGTGAAAAACCGTTCAGCTGCCAGGTGTGTAACAGAGCATTTGCAGATGGATCAAGTTTCCGCCGTCATGAGCGTCTCCATACAGGTGAGAATAGACATACTTGTGATATCTGTGGTAAGGGCTTCCCATTTGATACGTCATTGGCGAGGCATAAACAGAGTCACATACCTGGCACACCTACATATGTGTACATGGTGTGAATTATTTAAATTTGTGTGTTAGGGTGCATCGCTTAGTAGAAAACATGATTAGCGACTGATACAGTTTGTTCTGTAGGCAAGATGTTGACGTTCCTCTGTGTTAAGAACTGAATAGCAAACGATTTCTTCTAAAGGTTGTAATCTCGGAGAAGTACTAATGTGTTTATGTTGTTTAACAGCGAAGTAGAATGTATCAATATCTGAAGATGTGTGTATGATTAATAATTATCATGCATTTTTCTTACTTTCATATTATAATTTACTTCAGAGTAAGTTAGAATGTGTGAATACACAACTGACACCAGTCGCATTGAATTTGTGGCTTACACACGTGTGCAGAGAAAATGTATGCCATATCTGTATTATAAATTGGTTTTATTAAACAATTAATGTTGAAGGTTATGTCCATGTTTATCATCTTCCTGTTCAACAGAAGTTTGAAGAAATTGTGTATACCTGTTGTGTTACTTTGTTAGTATGAGTCACATTGTCATTATTTTTGTTTATGACACAATGTTTATGATCCTGTGCCCCATTTTGTAAGATAGGCTTTTATGAATTAATTTAAATTTGGAAAAATTTGTAGAATTTGCCTTATAATAATCCTGCTTGTAGGAATTGTTGTGTAGATGTGGTAGTGTATGTGTAAGAGAAATGAGCTTGTCATAATCCCGTAACAAAAATCCTCAGTAAGGAAGAGATATTATTTTATATACTTTAACCGTTTTCGTAGAATGAATACATATATATATAACTTCACAAGTCATTTACTCGGCCACATATGTTGACCTTTAGAAGGTCATCTCCTGGCAATATAATATATTTGTTTATGTTTTCAACCAGATTCTTTTTTACACTTACCATATATGTATGTGGGGGCATGCTGTAGTGTTGTTGGTTGAGGCACTAGGCTACAAGCCAGATGGTTGCGGGATCGAATCCCAATGAGGTCATTGGATTTTTTCAATATACCTAATCCTTCCAGCTGCAGTGTGGCCCTGGGGTTGACTCAGCCTCTAACAGAAATGAGTACCAGGAATATTCTTGGAATGTTCTTGGTGGTAAAGGGCTGCTGGCACGTAACGCTGAGAACCTTACCGCCATCTATGAGCCATTTGTCAAGAAAATGTGGGAACCTCGACATCTAACATCCCTATGGGCCTCCACGGCCGGTTACAGGGATACCTTTACTTTTTTACTTTACATATATGTATGTGTGCACACCCGCGCGCATGCACACACACACACACACACACATATTCGCCTGTATGCTTATTATGCTTACTAATTGAATTAAAAATGTTTTAAAATGCATATAATATTTACAAGTATATCTGTTTACATAAGGTATCAGGTTTGTATTCTTATTCATACTGTCACATTTCAGAGTGACTATAGATGGGGTTAGGATTAGTGAATAGATTTACTGACCACTTACAGGTCATAACTACAACAACTGTAACACTGTTGCTTATGTCCACATTACAGATCACTCCATGCTAAGTCTTCTCAGTCTCGTTTAACTAGTCTTTACTTGATAACATCTCTCAACAGTGGCTATTCCTCTGCAATGTTTTCACTAGATGTTTCCTGGTAACGAATCTTAGCAATGGAGATTCTTCAGCTTCTGTAGCCAGCTGATTAGCACTCCACAGCTGAACCCTCAACTCAACTCTAATGCCAGTTGTCTTCAAGATTCTTCTCGGCATGAAACAAACAGCAAACACAGCCTATGAAATGTGCTGTTGAGATAGGGTCAGATGTCATGATATGCACACAAAGAAAGTTTCATGAAGATTGGTACAGGTATTGAAGCAATGTTAAGGTTTTGCCTCAGCAATTTGAAAAGCTGTAATGTTTGTGTTACTGATGGGAGGGATTTGTGATGTATGCTGTTGAGATGGACTCAGGTGGCATGATATATATACAAAGTTCCATGATGATCAATTCAGGCATTTAAGTAACATTATTGTTATTATAACAACAATTTGAGAGGTTGTAAAGTTGGTATTACTAATCAAAGGGAATTTTGAAGTGCCCCATTGAGATGGCCACATTTGGCATCGTATGTATACCAATTTTCATGAAGGTGGAACAGGCATTCAAGCAATGTAAGGTTGTCTCAGAAATTTGAGAGGCTTCAATGTTGGTATTACTGATGGGAGAGATTTGTGAATGAAGCAGTTCAGATGGGCTCAGGTACCAAGATATACATTAAAAATTAATTAAACTGATAATTGACATCCCTGTGCTTAATTAATTAAGCATTATGCTATGAAGGAATATGGGGAAGTGGATGTATAGATTCACATTTTCTTCACCTTAGCACTAGTTGGAAGTGTGGTCAGCTTCATACTCCTGCCACAGTACCCCTGGTACCCATTGGATAGGAGGCTGGGTGGACCCCAGAGCCAGTCTGGATGACGAGAAGAGAAAATTCTTGACCTTACCGGGACTTTAACTTCAACCTCTTGGTCATCCAGCCTACAGCCAGTCACTATACAGACTATGCTATCCTGGCTCCTACACCAACATATACATATGAAGTTCATAAAGATTGGTTCAGGCATTAAAAAATTGTGGGGGGGGGGGACACACAAACACAGACAACAAGGTGATACAAGGTGATCTCATAAGCTTGCTTTTATTTTTTAAAAATAAGGAAAGTAGGATAATAATATCTTAGCAATGTGCCAAAGGACTTTGAGAATAATATAAATGGGAAGTTAGGAAATATTGTTAACTCTGTGTGTTTAGCATTTAACATTAAGGTATCCATAAATAGGTCTTTCTGACACTGGGCATCTGTGATTTACTTAAATGCAATGAGAAAAGGGTTAAATTGGTTGTAACATAAACTGCTCTTTTTAAGGCAGCTTGAAAACAGCTGATAAACTGTAATATTAAAAATGTAAGTTTCTTACATCTGATGGATAAACGATGAACCCTTTTTTAAGCAACCTCTGCTTTATTTTGTATGCATACTCTGCAGTGGGGCAGGGGCTGGGGGTTACTGTGCTACAAACTGGAAGGTAGTGAGTTAGATTCCTGATGAGGTCATAGGATTTTTCATTTGACCTAATCCTTCCAGCCACAGGAGCCATAGGACCTGAGGTTGACCCAGCCTCTAACAGAAATGAGTACCAGGGATCTTCCTGGGTGTAAAGGATGGCTGGCACATAAGGCTGACAGCCTCACCACCATGTGTGAGCCGATTGTTTAGAAAATGTGGGATTCTTGACATATCAAAACACAATGGGGCTTCACGGCCTGTTAACAGGGATAGCTTTACTTTTTTATTTATTTATTTTATTACCTAATCTGCAACCCTATGTGGTGATGAGGAACAGCTTAAGCACTTGTAGGTTATCCATATTACAAGAGAACCTGATACTTTTCTACTTTTCAAATCCCTATTTCTTTTTTCTTTTGTACACATTAACCAAAAGATGCATATAATGCTTGTGCTTAATTAAGTAAGCACCCTGCCATGAAGACATGAAAGACCAGGAGTGTAGCTCCATTCATAACCTTGGCACTTGATGGAGGTGAGCAGTCAGCTTCATGCCCATGCCACTTGACCCTCAGGAAAACAGCCTTTGGTTCCTGTTGGATAGGAGGCTGGGTGGGCCCCAGAGACACTCTGGATGCTATGGAGAAGATATCAATCACCCTCCCCTAGTAGAAATCTGATCTTGATTTCTTGGTCTTTGAGCCTATATCCTAGCTGCTATAATGACTGAGTTGTCCCTGCTCCTGAGATGCATATTACACTACAATTTATTCTTCCTCATTGAAATAATCAAATAATTTAGTTTGTATTAATCACAGCATTTTTTTGATGCACAGGGCTCAGTAATTGTCAGATGAAATAAACAAATGTGTTCTGTAGCGGTCTGATGTCCTAACCATGTCATCACTTCATTAATGTTTTCTAGCACTTTGCTTCATGTTGATACCACTCCTTTATAGGAATTATGTAGTATTATCTTTTGAATCTCTTGCTGTATCATTGGCTTCTTTTATGTCATTGCTTTGCCCATTTTTCAAAGAAGTGGCTCTTTCTCCTTACCTAAGGTGTTGAATGACCAGAACATGACAACTGTTTCTCATTTGTGAGATATGAGGTTCTCATGGCAGGGACTATGAATAGACTACCTTTTGGGATGACATAGAAGTTTACTCATATTCAGCAGGAATGTATTGCCTCCATCATTCAGGATTGGAGAGTAAGCAGTCTCTGATTTCTGAATATCTGACATATTCTTCAACCCTGAAGATGAAAGCAATGCATTTGTCTGAAATGATTGTGAAGTTCTATGAAACTACATGGTGGCACATCCTGGCCTTTGCATTCTCAGTTGTATTCTTATGAATCACTTCAAAACCAATTCATCGGGAATGTGTTACAAAACTGCAGAAAACTGAGTTCCTTAAGGATAAAGTGTGATGTCATTTAACACTAAATCTTTTTAAAAAATTGCCATTTGTTTCAGAAGCTACCTGCGTGGGTTGACAGTACTATTGAATGGCCACTGTATACTGAGATGGCACGTACATGTTATGGATCTCTCAGATAATTGTATATGCAGGAAGTGTGGGCATAGAATGAAGATCTCTGGCTTTGTAAGGTTGGAGCCAGTTTATATAATCAGGGACTTAATCAAAAAGGTGATGGCTGTAACACTGAGGACAGGATTCTTTTGAAGGGCACACAATGGATGCAGAAGTAATCTCTGTGTGGGGTGACTAGAGGCTGTCCTCCTCCCATGTCAGTACTGTTTCTGTGTTACCTTCTTTATGAACTCACCTTTCCTGACTTTCTTGAACACCAGACGCTGTTGTCACATAGTTTTAGTCCAGAGATACATTTTACAATTTAAGAATTTCGTTATGTTATCCTGCGGCACTATCACCCAACCACAGGCACTGGTTACTCTGATAAACAGGATAATTCTAAATTCTTTATAGTTAATAAATAGTCACATTCATGACAGCTGCTTTACAGAGGTTCAGAATTATTGTAACCTGAGTTGCATGAAACCCCACAAGACTGCACAGTTTCTGGTGGCAAATGGAAAATTAAGGATTTGTCATTTTAATTAACAATTGCAATTGGAACGTTCAACATTAGTCATAATCGTGGCATCAAAACATTTTAAAACATCTTCCTGGAAACGTGTGTTACACATAAAGCAAAATGGAGCTTGTCCCTGGAGAACAGTATATTACATCAAGCAAAATCAGCTCTGACTTTCAGTGTGGGTTTTTAATGAGACAAAATTATCATAGTTTGCCAAGCTACACTATTTACAGAAGTGATTGTATTCCCACAATATGAGAGGTGGAATAAACTGTGGCATATATTTGCCAAATACTTAATGCAATAAAAACTCATCCACAGCTCTGTGATTCTTTCACTATACACCCTGCATAGTCATGGCTTTATAAATGTCACACACTTATTTAATGTGTGGGCTAATCTGAAGGTTTATTTGAAAGGACCTAATAACAAGTCATCCTGCCACCAAAGAACAGCATTCACAGTGATGGATGAACAAGCATTTTGTTACTGAATTTTATCTTTGCATAATGAATTACCTACAGGTTTACAGTATTTAAAATCAAACGCTAAAACCTTTATTAAAACTACAAAATGAAAATAAAGCGGTACTCAATGGGACTGAACATGAGTCTTTACAAAAGAAAGTAGTGTATGTGAACACTGCTAGGAATATTGCTCATAAATGCAAATTTTCAGTGTCAAGTTTCAATGGCGTGTCACTCCCACATTGCTGAATTTTGGAAGCTTTGGGTGCCATTTTATCACATAATATTTTCATCTTATTTTTAATCATGATAGTGATTCTGAAAATTTTCGGTATCAGTAGGGGGAAGAAGGGAGTAATCCACACTGGAATCCAACTGATCTCAAACCACAGACTTTCAGCAGAGAAGTTCATCATCACAGCCCTACACCTTCAGGTCCCCAGATTTATTATAAACAAGACAAAAGGACACATGAACTAAGAGTGTAATTTCACTACTTTCGATGCAGTTCTCAATAAGACAACATGAAATGTTTTAAGATGAATAAAATAAAGTATGTGTGAAGTGTCAGTTCACTGAGGAGTTTTTTTAGGTGCAACTCATAAAACATTACTGACCCTATACACATCATGATTAAAATAATCAAGGTATGCTGATTTGTTATTTGATTAAGCTTGAAATAAATTTTCTCATTCCATCTCCTCAGGCTGTAGGGAAAATTAATGCTTAAGGTCACACTGTGTTAACATTCCTTTCTCACTTGTTTTTGGGTCCTTTTTCATTCCCTGCAATTTTCAGTAATTATTAATGAAATTGTTACCATTTATTCTGTACAACAGCTTATACTCAAATAGTTTTAATTATGTTCAGTATGAAGCACTTCTGGAAACATGCAAAGTTTGATAGTCAGGAATGTGCATCAGGTTTAATTTTTATTGCATACAGTTTGGTGTCTTTAATGCCTACAGACCAACAACACAGTAGACTTTCATCATTAAAGAGATTATTTTTCAGTAACTTGAAGGCAATAATATAGGGATCATACATATTAACCCTTATCCCTCTGGATTCCTGGCATTAAGCATTTCCAGTATACATTATCTATCAGGGCTTCCATGACAGTGATTTCTGCAATTTATGTATTTTAATATTAAGTGTATGGGGCAACAGTCATGGAATAACAGATGCTGTGTTTGCCACGTGCTGAATATGTATCAGTAAAAAGGTAAAACTATCCCTGTAACAGACTCTGGAGGCCCATAGGGTTGTAAAACTTTGAGGCTCCACATTTTCTAAGACAGTCAGCTCATAGATGGCACTGAGGTTGTCATACTTACATGCCAGCTGCCCTTTACCCCCAGGAAGATTCCTGTCAGTACTTACCATAATAAAAATAACTTGATCCATGACATTACTTGATACTTAAGTGAACAGCAATTCCATCAAGTGTAATCAGCTTTAATATAAAAATATATAAATACAATTTACATGTTTTGGTCATCATTGGCCATCATATATATATATGGACACACACTCCATGTTTTGGCCAGCACTGGTTATCATCAGAAAGTTCCCCAACACTATAGTGAAATGTGTGTCTGTGTAGGGATTTTTACCATAAATAATTAAGATTAGATTTAGATATTATATAGTGGGCTCAAGTGTGTTTATAAATTAATATATTAATATCATTTAAATGGTTTAAAATTCTAGTTGTGTAATGTGGAATTGATGTTTCCTTTTCCAATGTTGGTATGTAGAGTATTCTAGATGCTCATTTATGGAATGTCAGGTGTATGCTCAGTGACTGTTGTAGTAATATGCAAGGTGTGTTGTGAACTGACAGTCTGTAATTGTGAGGGCATCAATACCATTTCATGACATATTCGGCTGTGAATGAAAAGAATGAGAGGCTGTCACATTTTTACACAAGGTAAGAGCTATGCTTAAGATATCTGATTTTATTTACAGAAAGGTTAAAACTAACACAAACATTTCTTCAACTAACGTTAAAACAGACGATCACATTTTTCATTTACCATCATTTAAACCTATTTAGGGCTAAGAAATAAGTTTATGCGAAGATCATCTGATTTTGTATGTTCTGAAAAAAGGTTTAGAATGTAACTTCTGATTATTGCCAGCAGAAACTATCACTGCCAGACTGCATATGGCCATTTTCTCGTTCCAAATGAGTTCTGACATAATGGATATCTATCATACACTGACAATAAATAATGAGGTATATTCATTCAATTCATGTTTCCTACACTGTTTCTGTACTTTATCAATATGATAAATAAATGTTCTGTTAGGGCAGTATTCTTAATTCACTTCTTGATCCAGTCATTTGATTTGTTACAGATAGTACAACTAATACAGATTTTAAATAGGTGTGATGGAGTGCTCACATTTTAGTACACATTTACTTTAGGGAGAGGTAGCCCTTCACCTCCATGACGTTTTCTAATATGTCGTTTCAAACTGCTAGGATACTTAAAAGGTTGAGCACATGTGGGGCAGATGTGTGGTTTCTCTCCTGAGTGAACAGCTTGATGTGCTGTGAGATTACCTTTGTCACTAAATGCTTTCAAGCATGTCTCACATCTGTATGGTTTTTCTCCACTGTGTGTTCTCCTATGCACAATAAGATTGCCCAGTGTGGTGAACTGCTTGCCGCAGACAGGGCACTGGTGTGGCCGATCTCCAGTATGCATTCTCATATGGTTTATGAACGTGCTTCTGCATTTGAAAGCTTTACCACACACACTACAGTGGTGGGGCTTGTCTTGTGAATGGAGAGCTTGGTGAGATGTAAGACTGGATTTAAACTTGAATGACTTCCCACATATGGAACACTGATGACGCCTATCATCGGAATGAGAGGCAGAGTGAGTCATCAGATTGGACTTACTGCTAAATGATTTCCCACATACTGCACACAGATATGGACTTTTCTGTGTGTGTAATGTTTTGTGATTACATAGATTAGACATGTACTTAAATCCCTTGCCACACATTGGACATTGGTATGGTCTTTCTTCTGAATGCACTGCCACATGCTTCATTAGATTTGATTTACAACTAAAAGACTTACCACATACTGTGCAGAGATGGGGACCATTCTCTATATGTAAAGCTTTGTGATTACAAAGATTGGACATGTATTTAAATCCTTTGCCACATACAGAGCACTGAAATGGTCTCTCTTCAGAATGTATTGCAGTGTGTTTGATCAGATTTGACTTAGTACCAAAGGATTTACTGCATAAGGTACACGCATGTGGGCCATTTTCTACATGTAATGCTTTGTGGTTACAAAGATTGGATTTGTATTTGAAACTTTTCCCACACACAGGGCACTGATGTGGCCTTTCTTCGGAATGCGAAGCAACGTGGCTAGTGAATTTTGACTTACAACTGAAAGACTTACCACATACATTACACAGATGGGGTCCATTCTCCACATGTAATGCTTTATGATTACAGAGATTTGATTTATGTTTGAAACACTTGCCGCATGTAGAGCACTGATAGGGCCTGTCTTCTGAGTGTGTGGCAAGGTGGCTAGTATACTTGGATTTGCCACCAAAGGCTTTACCACACTGAGTACAAAGGAAAGGTTTGTCGTCTGCATGTAAAGCACTGTGCTCTAACAGGTTAGATTTATATTTAAAACCCTTACCACACACAGTACAAAGGTGTGACCTATCCTTAGTATGCAGTGCTTGGTGGGTAGTGAGATTGTACTTTGTTTTGAATGATTTACCACACATGGAGCAACAGTGTTGTTTTGTTTCTTCATGAATAGCCTGATGTTCAGAGAGTTGAGATTGACAACTGAAGCATTTGCCACATTCTGGACATTGGTGTGGCATTTCCTCTAAGTGAGAAATTATGTGAATCATGAGGTCAGTCTTAGAGTCAAACTTCTTGTCACAAACATTACACTGTACTGGCATCTCTCTAACATGTAGAGTTGTATGTTGGATAAGATTTGATTTATATTTGAAAGATTTACCACAGAGAGAACAGAGGTGTGGCCTAGCCTCAGAATGGGATGCAAGGTGCTGGGTGAGGTTTGATTTGGAATGGAATATTTTCTCACATTCTGTACATGAGAACGAAACCTGGGAATGTAATGCCGTATGACTTGTTAAGCTTGATTTGTGCTTAAAAGAACTCCCACAGTCAGAGCAATTGTACTTTGGGTGCACCACAAAATGCTTTTCCAACTCTTGCTTGTTGCTAAATTCCTTGTTGCATACATGACATATGTACTGTTCAATTTCCTCACCACCATCCACTCCAAGGAAAGAGTTCAGAGATGCAGTGCTTCTGCCTTTGTTAATACATGGATGTGCTGTGCCAACAATGTCTTCATGCTTCATGTCCTGTAGGGAAGTGCCTGGTGATGGTGTGCAGTTCGTTGACTTGTTATTGCAGTGATCTGGAGCACCGATGTCTTTATGTTCCAAGCTGTGTACAGAAGTTCTGGGTGGTGGTGTATTTCTCCTGTCTGGACACGGCACACTGATGCCTGCATTCTTCAAGTCCCGTGATGACTTCTTACATAATGATTCATCACTTGTTTTAGTTTTGCGCCAAGAACAAGTATTGACTTCACTGTCTGGCTCTATCACATCTTCATCAGGGCTCACAGAACCATCGTTGAAGCTTGCACCCCTTGAGTCTGAATCATCATCTTCAAGAGCAGCCGCACCCTCTGTATCACTGCCAAGAGGCTGAAAACAAAATGTAATGTTGTGTCATGTGCTTACCAGGGTCTAAGTGTAAGTGCATTAACTATCTATCTCAGAGTAGACCCGTAAGACATGGAGTCCCACAAGGTTCTGTTCTTGGACCAATTTTATTTTTGCTATATATTAATGATCTAGAAGCAGGTATTGAACAAGGAAAACTAACGTTTTTTGCCGATGATATAAGTATTTTTATATCAGGAAATAGTGTTAATGTTGTCCAAAGGAAAATAAACGCATTAATAAATAAACTCACAGAATGGTTTGAAAGTAACAGATTAATTATTAATAAAGAAAAAACGATAGCAATATCCTTTCACCAACCACAAAAAATACAGCCAGAATGCCCACCAATAAAACTATATGATAAAGTCATCAATTATACAGAACATACCAAATTTTTGGGAATGTCGTTAGACAAAAAATTAAGCTGGTCCACACATACTCAAACACTAGCAAGTAAGTTATGTAAAATATGTTTTGGCTTGCGAATAGTCAAAAAAGTATCAGGATTAGAGACTGTTCTTGCTTTATACTATGCGTATTTTCAATCCCTGCTATCATATGGA